GTTCGTCTGCTAACTTTCTGAGAGATATGTGACGATCTTGATTTAGTAGCGCGTGTACAAGAGCCTCGTTTTCGTCGATAACAGCTGTTGTGGGCCGGCTACTTCTTTCATTATCTTTTAACGAAGTTCTACCGTCCTTGAACCTCTCGTACCAAGTATAAACAATAGAGCATGATATACACCTTTACTAAAAGCAGTGTCAATCATTTTTCGTATTTTCGTAAAACTTTTAATGAGTCTAACACAAAATTTAACTACGGAACGTTGTTCGAATTTTTCTTTCATTTCGCGATTTGCACCTGCGACACCTCAAATACGTCTTAACTCGTAAATACTGAAAGGAAAGGTTACATGGTATCAGTTTTGTTTGATAGATTGCTTCATTTGTACAGGTGCTGGAGAAAAAGTTCGGGAACTTTTCCGACACACTGTGTATATCTATAAAATAAGTTAACAACCATTCAGGTTCAGCCACTGTCTTATATGATAAGTATTATATTGCCATGCGAATAAATAAATAAGTATTATATTCATATTATAGTACATATTACATTATATCATATTCATTATATGATACATATATAATGAAAAAACAAACTATTAATGATATGAGCTTATAAGCTCAATTATACCTCAATATACCTATAGGTATATCATAATTGAACCATACAAATACAGGATATAAGAAATTATTTAATCTATTGCGTGACTATTGAGAAGCAGTTATTTAACACATATGCTCAGGGATGGAATTAAGGGAGGAGCCCGAAGGTCCTCGCCTCCCCACATTAACATAAGTTAAGTTTTATTAATTCAATAGTGTGAAGTTTTTATTTTAATCTTTACCATTTTACCTTTGATATTGTTTCTCTCAAAATAATCCATCTCAAAAATAATGTTATAAATAATATAATAATAATATAATGCTATAATGATATGAGAATTTCCAAACATTCGTCAACTTTTACTAATTTTGGCAATATTACCTGTGACAACATCGACAAGTGAGCGATTTTCTCAATACTAAAACGCATAAAAACATATTTAAGAACAATAATGGGGGAAAACCATTTAAATGGGTTAGCTTTGCTTAATATCTATAAACAAATTTATGTAAGACCTGAAGAAGTATTAGATATGTTTTCAAAATCTAATCCTAGGAGATTACAATTATCTTTATCGTTATGCATTTCTTTCAATATTATTATAATTTAAATATAATCTTTAACAAATAAAAAAAATACACATTTAAAATTATTGTCAATTTGTATTATTTTAATTTAATTTTAATTACTAAAAAAATTTCAAATTTGCGTTCTGGATTATGGGCCTCCCACAAAAAAAAAAAAATTAAATCCTGGACCCATCACTGAATATGCTGTTACAGGATTACAAGACACGACTAGTTGTGAATCCGGCACTATACCTATTATTTTTTTTGCACAACATGACACGACGAATTGTGAACCCATCTTTATCGTAATATTTATAATATATTGGATATTTATAGTATTATTAATTTATTCAATTCTGTTATACTTTTTATCTGCGAACTCGCTGATTAACGTAGATGACGGCGTACAGTGACTAATAATGGCGCGATGGCACGGAAATTACTGTCGAAAATCCAGTTTCAATAATTTCTATAATACGTGACTTATTCTCCCCGGTCCTTTCCGTCTAACAAGCCAAAACATTACGTGTTACGGTTAAACCTGACGTGTCGTCGAAAAGATTAAAATAGTATTTCCATTAAAATAACTATATGTTTTAGATTTTGTGGCCTTCATTCTATAATAATAAACAAAGATAAATCTGTATGATATGTAATACTTTAATTTTGAAACAGTTATTATTTGCAAATAACTGTTTTTCTTTAAAGGGTGACGCAATTTCAAAGTCTCCTCTGGTGGAATAACACATTTTTGATATCCCGAGTAGGTACTGTCATTTGATGTTATCTATGTTATCGTCGTGTTACGAAATGTGATATCATAACGTAAATGGACGATATTTGCCACATATCAGTACTAGACACCCGGTTATGTGTGAAACGATCGAGAAAACCAGTTTTTTCGTAATATTGTCGCTCGAGCAATATATTCTTTAAGGTTGGTATCAACGCACAAGCGTTAATCTCGACTGGGTACCACGCTCTACGACCGTAATAATCTCATTCTCGTCACTCGCTCGTTTTCGATCTTGTCTTATTTTTTTTTTTTTTATTTCCTTAACTTCCGTGAACACTTCGATCCGTAGCTGCATTGTTTTGGCGTACAGAATTGGACTTTTTCGAGCTCAGTTAAAGCATTCTAATACCCAGCGGTTAGCATGAGTTCAACAGATGTCTTCGGCTTGTATGATTAGAAAATAAAGTCCTGGGCTGTAAGAACTCCTACTTTCCTTCAGGTACTATTCCATAATTTTAATTTAATGTAAGTTTACCATCTTCGTAGGTTTGTATGTCTACTAAATATACCTTTATCTACTAATTCAACTCATGACTAACAATTTAATCATAATAACTTTTTTAGTCTAGTATTGAATATATTATAAACAATATGGATAATCTGTTGTTAAGTGTAATGCCTAAAATCACTAGGTAATGTAGGTACATAATTCTTACATTTCCTAAGCATATATAATCCCTAAAACGGACCAGTATATTTATTGATTAAAAAATATACTTGATAAATACCTAACAACTTATTGGTATTATGAATATTATGAACAGTGCTTGACTTCAAGAGGATGGAGTACCCTAACTAATTTTCAGAAATTTTTGCGTCCCCCTACTATTATTACATTATAATTATAATGTTTCACAAGTCTTGAGAACGCTATTTTTTTATAAGTAAACAGAGTCTCTCTTCTTTAATTTTGCTAAGTCGAGCACTGATTATGAATAACAAGATTCTCCATTTATTAGCATTTAAGTGTGGACTTGTAAACATATTTGTTCATGTAGACTTTCATTTTTCAAAATAGAGTTGTAGAAAATAAAAAGGTTAAAATACTTTTGTTTAATCAAAATGTAATTTAAAAAAATACAAATATGATTAATCATGTACTGGACAATTAACGAAAGTAAGACTTAAGTAAGTTTCGTTAATGCTTTTGTAAGGTTAAGTACCAAAGTAATATAAATATATATATGTAATTTGTGTTAAAAATAATATGTTTTGTCATTCAATTGTCACTTACAAATTACATGTTGCAATAAGTGATCAGCAATAGTAATATAACAACTGTTTTATAATCAGTTCATAACATTCAATAATAATACTAAGCTACTGCAATAGATTAAAAATAAAAATAATATATTAAATTAATGTAAATATTAAAAGTATTTGATTTTCTTAATTTACCTTAAAGAATTATGGTAGTTTATATATTATATAATGCCTAGGAATTTTATGTTAAAATAATTTTTATTCATATTGCCTAAAACCAGCTGGCATTCATAATGTCTAGAAATTATGCATGATACATAAATTATTCATATTTGTCAATAACAAATGCACAAGCTTAAAAATAAAATGACCACTGTTCATTTGTTATATTTCTGTATTCGTTTTGTAACTCAATCATCATTTTAGTTTGTTCTTGTTGACTGATTTATATTATGATATGAACATCATTAACGATTCCAAATAATTCTTCATTATTAAATATTAAATCATTTTAGCTTCATCTGCATTTAATGAAAAGACACATTTATAGTACCCATTCTTATTATATCTTATAGATATAATTATTTATAATCAGTTCGCTGTTATTTTACTACACTTGAAAATTAATTTTATTATTCCATCAGTTGAATGAAAATAATTATCTCCCATGTTTTTTTTTTATTTAAAAGCCAATGAAGTAAATTTATCATAAAAAATATTTCTCATATTTTCATTTTTGTAAATTTATTTGACTACAACTTCATATCTTTCTTATAGGTGCTTATTTCCCAGATATACAAGAAGTCAAACATTATTAAAATTTGCCCATCATCTATTGTGGATGACAATAGTTACCAGTGTAAAGGCTATTTCAGCAATAAATACAACAAATTTTGATAAATTTCATCTTTATATTATATATGTATATATATAGTTATTTTGATTATGATTTAAATAGATAGAAATATAAATGACATCTATAGCTTAAAATTATAATTTTTAATTTTGAGTATAACTTGCAAATAAATTATTTTTTAACATTTTTTCTTCCTTCATTGAAATTTAATGTAGATTCAAAATTAACCAACAATTTTTCAAAACTTATTTATACTAAGAAACATGTTATGTTTAAACTATTATTATTTTCTAATTATTCTTCTATGATTATAGTGATGAGAGAAAGTTATCATAATTTCACATATTCTTTTGTTTGTAAACTTCAATTGTTTAGTAGGATTACAGAAAATGTCCTTCTAAAACGGTTTTGTGTTTTATTTAATATTAGTTTTAATAAGGTCTCAATGTAAAATTATGTTTTACTAATTATGCTATTTTTTTCAAAAATCTCTTTTACTTTTCTTGATTAAAAAAAATAAATATTGAGCTGTTTCTGATACTAATATCAGGGCTGCCACTTGGTCACTTTTTCAACTAAAAGTCAATTCTTTTTTCTAAGTCTCTAAAAGTCTCATTTTTTCAATGAAAGTCATTTTAAGTCACTTTTAAAAAAATTCATTGATAGTTTCCCTAAAATCCGTGTTGTATAAATATATTATGTATGATAATTTTTATTTTTTATATCGCTTATTTTAAACTAAGGTATTTTATAAATGTATTATTGTCAATCACGATTAATGATATAGTATCTTAAATCATGTTGCCAATCAATAATAGTCAGAAATAATAGAAGATAAATTAATGATATGATATTTAACCAGTAATCACAAAATAATTGTTATCCTGACAACAGTGGTATATTGTTATCAAATATCACTGATATTTATTGTATTATACTTAATAATGGGAAAGTGTAAATTTCAACATACGTGACTTCAAAAAGTTGATTCATTGGGATGCATATCTGAGTGGTGTAAAAAGAAAGAAGATGATTGTGGTTATTGTATTCCATGTGAGAACACTTTCAATGCCAATAAAGGATATCAAGCAGTCATGCAACATGTGAAATTCGGAAAACATGAAAAAAAAAAGGAACACTAAAATGTCACCATTTCAACTGCGATTGACATCTAATGTCGAAACCAACACTGGATCAACCACAAGTAACATAGAAAATAATATATTAATGTACAGGGTGTTTGATTCAACAACAAAATCTGAATTACTTTGAACAATAAAATCTGTAATTCATAATTACTCTACGTATTCAGCAGATAGAAATTCAGAAATATTTCAGTCTATGTTTCGACAAAATTTTCCAAAGTCATTCTCTTTGTCACGCACTAAATTAAGTTACTTGACTACTGAAGCTTTAGGGCCATATTTCAAGGACATCATGGTAAAAGATGCTTATAAGTCTCTTTATTCTATTCTTTTTGATGAAACTACAAATGCTAAAAACGAAAAAGAACTTTAAATTTATACAAGACATTGGTCTGAAAAATAAAAATAAATTACAGTTAAACATTTAGAAACATATTTTTAAGGACGTTCAACAGGAGAAATATTGTCTGAACATATTTTTAAAGCATTTACTAATGCTAATATACCTTTGATAAATATGTTAACGATTGACAGTGATGGCCCTAATGTTAACAAAACAGTCAAACGAATAATAAATAAAGAATTTTTAAGTGCTACCAAGTATAATTTGTTGGATATAGGTAGTTGTAATATACATACAGCACATAATGCATTCCTAAAGGGATTAGAAAAGTTTGGAGAAAAGTCATCTAATCTCTGTGTATTTATTTTTCACTATTTTGATAAATTTTCAAGTAGAGTGGAAGATTATGTAAATTCAAGTTAAATTAAATGTTCCTGAGGAAAAGTTTATAAAACATATACCGTCTAGATAGTTAACACTAAAGAATTCTTGTAGTAGGTTATATGAACAATCTGCAGCTGTGAAAGAATATTTCTTAAAATTTGTTCCAATGAAACATCCATCCCAGACTAAGACATCATCATTTCAAAAAATTCGTTCTATATTGAGCTCTCCATCCTATAAAATGAAGCTTTTATTTGTGATAAGTAGCATAACAATTCTTAGTAGTATTCCTAATTAATTTAATAAAATCTGAACCTCTTAATAATTCATTATTAAAACATATGCAATATCTACAACCAGCTGAGCAAAAAAAAGAACGAAGTTGTTTAGACAATAAAAATTGCTCGAGCACTTCCATTTGATGTGCCAATTGATTACCTTTTAGATGAATGGAAATTACTTCAGTTAGAGCTCATGGAAAATATAGTTGAAACATCTAAAATTGATCATTATTGAAATATATATATTGAAGATAATTCAAAAAATTTAAACTATCCTATCATTGCTAAAATTATAAAAGCATCACTTTCTTTAACACATGGAAATGCTGATGTCGAACGTGGTTTTTCCAACTCTGGTAAAGTTCTAACTAAATACAAAACTTGCATATCATTAAGAATGTTAAAAGCTCGACTATACATTAAAGATTCCTTAAAATTTTATTTTAATAAACTAGAATTAGTGCTTTTAACAAAAGAACTTTTATCACTGGCTAAGACAACAAACTTTTCTCATAAAAATTATTTAGAAGAAAAAAAAAACTTGAAAAAGAAACTAAAAAAAATGGAAAAGATGAAGATGAAAATAAGTTGAGGCTGAAAAAGGAAATACAATTCAACAATAAGAAAAAATAAACTTGGAAAAAATGGAAGAGAATTTAAATTTACATAAAAAAAGCATATAGAGAAAAAAAGGATGAAAATGACAAATTGAATGAAGAGGCTTTAGAGCGAATGAAAAAAAAGTATTCAAAATGGAGATTTAAAAGGGATAAAAATAGCTCAGTCTTTTCTAGAAGGAATTTTATCCCTAAAAAAAAACTGAAGAAGAAAAATTAAAGGAAATTAATAGTCTTCAGAGAGAGGTAGATCATTTTAAACACAAGCTACTTACAACATTGTTGGAACAAAAATAAATATTGTTATATAATTATTTTATTTTTTTTAATTATTTTAGTAAATTACCTGAAAATGTTTATTTTGTTTTGTTTTAATAATTTTAATATGTTAAAATTAAATATTTTTTTTGTATTCATTTTGTTATGCTTATATTTGAATTACTATTTATTCCTATTTATACGTGATGCAACGATTTAAAAAAGACTGTTACTTAGAATAAGCTTAATTTATAAATATAAAATATGTTTTTGTTTGTTGTATATACTATTTAAGAATAAATTATAAATATTTCAGTTGAATAATAATATGTCTTATCGTCTATTTTTAGGTTACATATATATTTTATTTAAAATAGTATATTTATATACCTATAAATATATTTACTAATACATCACTGGCCTAAGGACTCTCACCTGCTCTAATGAATGATATCAAAAATTAAATACTAATTTAATAAATTAAAACAATAAACAATTATAGTTAAAAAATAATGGTCACTTTTTTTTTTCATTTTATAGTCACTCTTTCAACTATTTTAAATTTAAAATCTAGTAGCAGCCTGTAATATAAATTACGTTTAACATACATTATATAATTAATTAAATTATAATTTATTTGAAATACATAAAATAGTTTTATATTTGGTTCATTGCTTTTTTTTATTTAATATTTATACTTGTTCTAAATTGAATAATTACATTATTTTTATTTTTATTTTTTTCAGCTATTTGTTGTAATAATGATGGACGAGATTGTACTACAAGAAACTAATGTTCAAACACCAGAGAAAATATTTCCTTCTAAGTTGATTCTTTTAGGTGAATCATCAGTTGGAAAATCTAGCCTTTTGCTAAGATTGATTAATAGACAATTTTACAATTACCAAGAAAGTACTATTGGTGGTATGTTTTTATATAAATTTGAATAATCTCTTGAAACCATTCATTTATATAACAATTAATTTTCTTTAGCTGCATTCTTTACTCATACAATACATTTGGACAATGGAGCTGTTAAATTTGAAATTTGGGATACAGCTGGTCAAGAACGTTATAATAGCCTTGCACCAATGTATTATAGAAGTGCACAAGCAGCAATTATTGTTTATGATATAACTAATAAAGTAACAATTTATTTGTTTTATATTAATTTATTTATATAAGATTATTAGGTAATTAATTTAGTTTTATTTTAAAAGGATACTTTTGAAAGAGCTAAGTATTGGGTGAAGGAACTCCAAATAAATGCGAATTCTGGAATTATAATAGCTCTAGCTGGTAATAAGCTAGATTTAAATACCATAAGGAGTGTTGAGACTGATGAATCACGTACATTTGCCCATGAAAATGGACTTATATTCATGGAAACGTCAGCAAAAACCTGTGTTAACGTCACTGAAATTTTTAAAGCAATTGGTATGTTATGAATAAAATAAAATAAAATAAATTGTATGAATTTTAATACATTAAACTCTGTGGCTTAGCTGAAAAACAACAAAACAATGCGACATTAAATACAGCCGGGAAATTCCAAATTCGTAATACTGAAGAACTTAATGGGACTTTAAGCTGTTGTAAATGATATACTACTATGGGTAATTTTTTTCATTCATTGGAAAAATAATTTTGCAATAGCAAGAAATTATGGATCATTATGGATACTATTTATATTAATTTTTAATGATATAATTGTAAGATTGTTAGTTTATTCAAAACCATATGAATAATTAAATAAATAATATTTTTTATTATATTATATTAAGTAATATGTTATAGGCATTATCATTATTAACAATCTATTGACTACCATTAAATAAGTTCATTATAGATACTATTTATATTATTTTTTATTGATATAATCATTATATTGTTAATTTATTTAAAGCCATATAAATAATTAAATAAATAATATTTTTATTACATTATAAATTAATTTAATACTATTTAATTATAAACTATTGATTATAGTTATGTATATATATATTACTATCAAATATTATGTTATTGTATTTAATAATATTATTGTAAATTCAGTTTTTTACTATTTTTTGATCTTAATATTAGTTCCCGTTAATTAACTAGAAATGTGTTAATAGTGAAAATTATTGAACTATTATATTATTAAGACAATTATTGAATTTATAATTACTAAATTATATTTCTTATCATTCTTAAATATTTTACTTTTATTTTTTTATTTTTATTAAATGACTATATTTATTAAATATAATTATGGTATTATGAAATATTTATTTGAAAAAAAACATGTATTAAATGTATGATAACAATTATATATATATATATATATATATATGTATGTATAATAATTATAAAATATATAATTTATAAATTAAAAACATGGTAAAGATCAGGAATGTTCAAAATTATATTAACTAGATTAGCCTTATTGTATACACATAATTGTAAATATAGAAGAAGATATTACCTAGTAGGTCTGCAAATGAAAGAAAATGAGGAAAAAGGGAAATGACCACAGGGACACCCCAGAGAGAAATGGATTGACCAAAGGACCCGAGCCATTAGGTATCGAAAATTGGTATGATACGGCACAAGATAGAGAATAGTGGTGAGATATTGTAATAATGGCAAAACACTCTTAGAGAGTAGTTTGGCCAGAATAAGAAAAAATAGATATATTACACTTATTTATAAATTGTAATAGGTTATTTTAATGACAATCATTGTTAATGAAGTGATGAAGAATGACAACTAATGATTAATTTATAAAATGTTGCGCCTGATTTTTGCTGCCCTAGGCAAACGCCTTAGTTTACGTGAGTAGGCAACTCAATGTTGCACTTATACCGTATGCACAGCGATGGCGGCGACGAATGAACGGGAAACAAGTTATTAGTACAACTGATGGCAAATGGACGAGGTAAATGATTGGGAGGAAGATTTCTGTGACCCATTCGGTTTGGTGCAATGATCAAAAAGCTTACACACGAATCGGAAAAAGTACTTGAGCTAAAATGAAAACTACATGAAGACTGAACTGGTGATCCCGACGATCAGGGCATTCTCTCGTATACCACATATCATTAGGGCTAGGATTTATTTGCATTTGCATGTTATCTTCCTTAAGTCTTAATTTATTGGTTTTCAGTATGTCCACAAAATGATCTATTTTCGATTTAATAGAACTATTTTTTTTTCTTTAAATTTTGAACATAATACGTATTAATTGAATATTTATAGATTTTTGAGAATCTTATTAATATTTAAGCTTAAATTTTCAAATTTTTATAATACTGTTTATTTTAAATGGTATTAATTTAATGAACGTTTATTTTTCGAATCATCGTAAATATACTACATAAATAATTTTATCTTGGTCGGACTATCGATGTAATTATTCACACATTATTTAACGACGTTATTATTAGAGGTCTGCGCGGGCCAAAAATTTTAGGTTATTTATTAAAAAATAAATAGATTTTCTTCTGTTTTTATCGAACCAGTGATTTCAGAAAAATCTGTATTAAAAGGATCTGCTGCCAAATTTTTAATTCTTATCTAAAACTGTGTAACATGTACCGAATCTTAAGACTCCAACTTCTCCAGTACGTTTTCCGTGTCTTTTTTCCGAGTGATCAGTAGGTGTCCGAGATTTCTTAATTTGAAGTTTCTTGACAAAATATTTTTTCCAGTGGTAGGGTTAGGTTAGATCAAATAGGTCAGATCAAATCTCCAGCTTAGAGAACTAATCCACATGAGTTACTTAAAGCTAGTGTAGGGCTATTACGATACACTTTATTGTGTGTTGAGCAATGTGCACGATATCTTCCTTACGCCTGTGAGTTAACAATGTTAACTATTATTTAATGTTTATCAATAATATTAACAATTTGTATAATAATAATGATTAATTACAGCAATTTTTATTTGTTATAAGTTATAAAAAATACAAAACCATAGTTCAGTACAGTTTACAAGTAGACGAAAATACACATAATAAAGACAGTACTAACTGGGCCACATTTCCGCGATTGATATTAATCTTAAATATAATTATTATATTATTAATCCCTAAAATAATCTAAATATGAATTTAATTAATTTTACATTACTCCACGCTCCACATATTATCTTAAGTTATTATATCTATAATTGTTGTCACCATTGTCGATATTTTTGGTTAAAATAAAGTTATTGAGCAAATATTAACCAAAATTTGTCCGTAACAAAATTCAAATTCGGAGATTTTTTATTTTACGTCGCGAAATTATAAATATTCTATGCGAACTATGTGCTAGATAGATAATTTATGATAATTTGTATTTTCGTAATTTCATAACTTGATTATAATTTTTTCCTGTAATTACTGAAAAGCTCAAAAAAAGTTTGATTCTAGACATATTTTATAATTATTGTTATGAAATATAATTCTATATGCGTGATATTATTATACAAATTACAGTAAAAAGGTAGCCCGTGTGCAGAACCGAAGGCTGAGTCTACGTAAAAGTACAAGTAGTCATTATTCTACGTATGGGTTGACAAAATACAACATACTATTCAATATATAAATACATCAAATCATTTAAATTTACAATACAAATAAACTTACAAAATTTATTACAAAAATGCGTAAATTTAACAAATAGTAAAATAAAATAAAATATTTAAATAAGACTTGTATAGGTAGGTTAAACATGGAAAAACAAACTTATTTTTACGATATAAATTAAAGTTTATCATACACATCGAATCTTTTAGTTATAATTCTATTAACACATATTTTATTATTTCAAGTTTGAATATAAATCGTTTTATCGGTAATGGTGGTAGCCTAGATCTCTACCGCGATGCTTCGTAATTAATTTGCCTGTGGTTCGATAACGCTTCGAATTTGATTTCCAACAAAAGTGATTTATATTCCCACAATTTTCATTACTACTGCTACAGGTATAACTAATATCTCCATCGTAACAATTATTAATTCTGTTAACGTTATTACCATTACTTATATTATAATGGTTTTTTTGACATGGTTGTTGGTGATATTTACTTTCTGCATTTTTTAATGACATTACTTCCTGAAATATAAATATATTTTGTATTTTACTAAATAAAATATGAAATATACTAGTTTATATATAAACTATCAACTAAAAATAATTATTGCATATTTTTATAATATCGCAAATGAAAAACGAATAATATTGATATTATAAAGGTCCCCTAGTACAATTTTATATATATTCTAACCTATTAAATAGGCACTTTTGCGTATTTATTTAAAGCTATGATTAAAATTTGAGCCCTAAATTGAAAATAACACACGATATTAAAATGTTAAATATCATAATATTTAAATTTAAATTAAATAATAGTATATCACTAAATCCTATTTGCACTAATACTATCAAAAACATATCTATGGAGTGTCTCATGGTACACCCTAAACCTTTTCGTTCATACCTGTAACAAGTTGCTCTTGCGAAAGAGCGTTTTTGAAATAGACTCACATAAAACCGAAATTTAAGTAAACTATGAACAAGATCATTCATATAATTATATGTCGAACAGGAATTAACAGTTAATGTTAAAACTTCTGAAGTTAATTTGTAAAGAATTTAAAAATATTGTGCAATTTCAGAGACGATTGTTATTATAAGTTTATACAATTATTACGATACATAAATTATACTATTATAATCAAAATAAAATAAAACTAGTATTAATTTAGTGTTTTTATAAAATAGTAATTTAAATAATTTAATTTTGCCCATGAATACTATTCTTAATACTGTGGGAACAAGCGTGTGTGACGTGATGGTAGTCGCGCGATTCGTTCCCAACAATTAAAATGATAAGAATAAAACCAACGCTTTTTGTGTCAGTAAACACGACAAGTATTTATTGGCATAAAAAATAAAGATTGTACAAAATAAGATAATACACGCCCACGCGGGTATTAATAATAAAATGCGAACGCGTGACAAGGTAGGATACAAAAATAAAAGAAACTTGTTTTGTCGACGAAACAGTGCATATTTTAATTAATATATTGGGCGACATAATTGTCGCCTAAAATATGATATCTTTAATTACTGAGCAATAACGATGTTTTGATAAAAATAAAGATATTTGTAATTATTTTTTAATTTTTGTTTAGTAGTTATTTATTATGCTTGATTTTGTCATTTGTTTATCATTTTGTTTGACGATTTGAAATATTAATTATATTGATTATCAGAATATCTACAATGGAAAACCAATAAAAACCATACGATACTTTATTATATATACCATTACGGGTTTGGATGGTATTATTAGTTTCTAAGGTTTGAAAAATTGGTTTCTAAAATTTAATTTTTTTTATAGGTTTTGCATAATTTGTTGATGTTGATTTCATCGATTTTGATCATATGCGTGGACATTTTTTTTTGTCGTCCAGAGAAAATTCCTTAAAACATTCATTGTGACGGTGTAAAAATGTGTCACTTGCGAAACACGTCAAGGAATCGTGGTTTGGAGTATCGGACGAAGCGTAGCTAGTGGTGCGGAATAAGGATTATCGCGTACCCTAAACTAAGAGACCAGTCGTTTACATTGGCAATCAAGCTATCAAGCTACTAACCATCATAACGGTTATCATCGCCATGGCGATGTTTGTGTTTCGAAGAAATGCGTTGCTCCATGTCTTTTAAAGTTTCCAACCATGGCTTAACGGTTTCGACTTTTGCAGATCCGATCACTCTACCTTCTTCGTTAAACATCAATATGTCCAATACCCTGATGGTTTTTCGCAATTTGCACAAGGCGGAAACATAGTCATCTGTGATAAAAAAAATATATAAATCGAGTTTTCCAAATAAATAAATAACATTTATTACGATGAAAATAAAATTATCACCTATAATGATTTTATTTATTGCCGACAATATAGTCCGTTTGCACACAGAAACCACTTTATCATCGTTTACTTCCATAGTCTGCTTTGTCACTATAGTCTGTAAAAATAAAATTAGTTGACTAAAGATAATATTTATTTGATAAAATGCATGAGGCTGGTCACAATACTTTCACGAAAAAAAAATGTATTTTCTTTATGTTATAACTTTTCATAAAATTAGGTGTTACACAACAATTTTTTAATATAACAAATCAAAGTTATTGAAATTCCCGCTCATTCAATCAATTTTTAAATAAGTGTTAGTTAAGATAGTTTACTTTAGCTATCGTTTCATCTTTGTTTGATGGCCGCTGTTGCTGTCCTAACCGAGCGTTGTTAACGATTACAGTGGACGTCATATCAGCGGCAATAGTATTCTCTTTCAAATGCAGTCGTCGAAAACGTGATGATGAATCATTTGTTATCATTTCAGCAGCTGCTGTATTGTTATTTTCTAAATATATATTTTTGTAAAATATTTTACATTTAAAAAAAAAAAAATAATTACTTGCATAGAAACAATGAATCGAGTAAGATACGAGTACATGAGACAGGTGACTGATACGATATTGATTCTTGTACATTTGAAATCAATATACCATTGGTTTATAAAAACGATTCTGAGGGAACAAGAATCATAAGAATATATCTAATGTTATATTATGCAAACTTGCTTGGCCTAAATCGTGTGAAAAAAAATCGTACCTATGTTTAACATAACTTTTGAAGTTTGATTTAATTAATTTAATAATTAACTGTTAAAATTATTATCATCAATGTATAATGCATATTATGTTAATATAAGTAAGTATCTAGTTTATATTTTATGTTCTTGTAGTTAATATGTATAGACAAAAAAATTTTTAATATAGTTTTATCAAAATGTGTGATATTCGGATAATTTAACGAATTTAGTTGAAAATCCAAATTTTGTCAAAATTTAATATTGTAATAATAATAAAAAAAATTGAAAAATTGGAATCCTCCAGTATTTTTTTTTTTTACTACAAGAAAATCTTACGAAAGATCTTTAAATCCGTTTTTTATACCTTAAATATAAAAATGTAAAGTTTAATACGTTTTTAATTATAAAAAGGTTGTAGATTTTCATGATTGTTGTCAAATGTTGTCGATATTTAAAATTTAAACGCTTATAAAAGAAATATTCTAATTACAAAATTATTAATCAGTAATTTTTAGCGGGAAAATAAGAATATTGTACTATTTTTGTTGCACTTCGTTTATTTTATAGATATTTTATGCAAAAAATCTAAGAAAATATGAATATTTAAAATATCTTATATATTTTACCAAAAAGGTTTTTAATGTGTTATTAGAATCTAATAAAAATGTAATCTTTACGATAATTTTGTATTGAGTTACGACAAGAAAACTAATTCGAATTTGTCAAAAAGAGGTGTCTCGTAAATACAGTCTTTTTTTGTAATTTTAATAATTTTCTCTCAATTAATCAGAACATTGTTGAAATTGTTGATAAATTACCTTTCTGGTTCAGTTTTTAAAAATAAAATTTGCTATCAGTAATAAAAGCAGTTAGTGATCGGAACAAAAAATTTCAAGTTGAAATCGTCTAGACATCAGGAAAAAATTAATAAAACACGTGCCATGGTGGAATAGTCATTCCACTCAGAATCTTAAATTTTCAAGAGAGTAACGAACAATATATTTAATATCTCTAACGTATACAATGGTTAGTGGTGTATGACTATTATTACCTACCATTAGAATTTATATGTTGTTGGCAATGTTGAATTGCATTGCCTATTGTTAGTGCTCGTGGTAGTTGCTGCTGCTGTGAATTGTATTCTATCATTGTGGATGGATGATGTATGAAGTGTGAATATGATTCAGGTAGTAATGATGAAATTAAAGGAGGTATAATTGATGGTACTGGTGTTGGCGGTGGTAGTAAACCGTTTGCTATCATTTGATGGTACATGTAATGATGTGGTTCTTGTTGAACATTTTCGCTTACCGTTCCATAAGAAAGTGGATAGTACAATTGATTGTGGTGTTGACCATTACCAATTATATTATCTCTAAAAGTCTGTTGCTCGATTCCTTCAATCAAATTATAATAATAGTTTTTTAATCAATAAAAACAACTTCTATTGAAGTTGAAATAAATAGAAATGTAGTAAGTTCTAAAACTATTAAGAAAAAAAAAATCTAAATTTAAATATTATGTCTATTATACTAAATTATAATAATATCTATAATAATTTAATTAATTAATCAATTACCTAATAAACAATATAATTAGGAATTACAATTGACAAAGTAATACTATGTAAATTAAATCAGAAAATATTATTTTCATTACAGATTTTGTATTTTTGAAACCCAAACAATGATTATAAACATTTAATTTATTACAACGATCATTTTTAATAATAAAATAATAATATTAGAGCTTAGCACACGTAAAAAAATACAGCAGTTTTTAATTATGTTGTTTAATTTTTCCAAAATTTAAAATCCAATGCTTAAAAAAATCTGTATTGAAATTACGATCTATTTTCGTACAAATGAGAACAATGTATGTGAAACTTTAAATTAAATTTTCAAGATTTTTAGTCAATTTAAATATTGTTATTAACATTTGTATGAAAATAAATCTAAGAACACATAAATATATCTTTTAATAACAAAAAAAAAAAAAATATTTTGAAAATTATATTATTTCCCCATAATACTAACGCTTAATGAACATTTCAAGTGTATGATTATTATTTTTGAAGTTACCTACGATGAAAAAATAATTTGTATCTATACCGAACATTTTCATTCAAATTCGAATTTTCCCGAATATTAGTAAGACTGTTGAGAAATTAAAAAACTATCACCGCACTCATAAGTTCCAATTAGACTCGTTTTGCTATTAGACGTGTGTAACAATATTTGTGTAATTTTTGGATAGGAGTGCGATAGGCAGGGCCGGACTGGGCAGACGGGATACCGGAAGTTTCTCAGTGAACCGCTTGAATTAAAACATTTTTACTCGATGGGAAGTTTTTTTTTTTTTAGTTCTATTGGTTTAGGTTCAATGTGTCGACGGATAAAGACGCATTTTCTAATACGCTTGCATTAGAAACTGTTTAAAATTAAATAAACGATCTTTTAATTTTTAATAATGATATTAAGTGTTCAAAATCTCAAAATAATGTACAATCATTTTGTATGAAAATATACATTTTCTTAGGGTTTTTTTTATACCTTTGGTACATCTAAGTGGGTCGTTTTTTTATTTTTCCGGTAGAAATTTCTAACCTAGTCTGGCCCTGGAGATAGGTTGATAATAATAATAATAATTGCAAACTCTATTACATAAGTTTGTATAAATATAATGGTACAATCATTATGCAACAACAACAATTATTGTTGTTCACGGAACTCTCACTAATATCTCACTATAAATTTAATTAAATTCCATTTATTTACAATTCGTACACATGTTGCGTGTGTATATAGCTATGGCAGTATCTTGAAGTTTTTATTTTCAGATTTTGAACTACTTAAAATACTTGACTCACTCTATGCTACTGACACGCACATTAATTAGTTTTTATGTAAATTGTGAAATAAACATGTAATTTGATTGCAAATAAGTAGATATATAATTTTATTTTAAATAATAATTATTTTTGATCTATCAATTATTATTAATTGATTATCAATTATTGATCTATGAAATAATCATATCCTAAGTGTTTATTATTTATGTTAAAAAAAATAGCTAGCTTTTATAATAATTTCTAATCATCTAAATTACATAATTTTCATAACAATGAGTAAAACGAAAATTATTATTAGAAAATCGTCGACAAAAAACCAAATGAACAGTTCAGCCATATAAGAGGTTTGGTATTTTATTTATAACTTACAAAATTCTTACTTTTATTACTGTTTTTTTTGTCCAAAACTATAATAACTGCTTTATTACTTCTAAATATGTATTATGCACATATCTCAGATAACCAGATAAACAATATTACGAGTTCTATGAAGAACTCTAGAGCTGTTTTCTGTATAATAACATTTTTGAAATATAACCAGTAACTTTAATTTACCTCTTAAGTTGAATTGTTTTTTTAATATGTCATTCGATATTGCTGTACTTTTTATAGGATTATTACTCCCAAAATATACATTTTCACTCTTAACAGTATTCTAATTTTGCTGAAGCGCTACTTAAGAATACGATCTGTAAACTACTTCAAATTTAAATTCATTTTCATTAATGCAATATATAAACATAAGTCAATATCTTCTAGTTCCAAAATTTCAATTACAAATGGATCTTGAAACCGTTTCTTAGACTTAGATTTTTAATGTGAAATATAGATAATTTTTATTTTGATGAAATATTATTATTCGTACATCAATATGTGCACAGAGTGAAATCATATGTAGTAAACTTAAAAAAAGTAACTCGTTTACACATCAAACATTAATTTTCCGAATCAATTATCAATATGGTATTTCAAAATAAACAATAATTTGGTAAAAATTATTAAGAAATTACTAAAATAATAAAATAAGTGCCAAACACAATTTTGAATATCATTTATTTATGATTATTTTAATCGTAGTTCATATTTAATAATTATTGACATTTAGAAATCATTTAAATTGATAATGATTCATAATATTATTTCATTTAACAGGAGCAATTTTGATGGGAATAACAAAATATTAGTTTCACGAACTAAACATTTATTAAATATATTATTATTATATGACTATTTTTTTTTATTTATTATGTTAGAAAATGCTTCATATCTTATACTGTGCCTTATCCGAGTACAACTTTAAATTTTTTCGTTTTATGTTTCTATTATGATCGACATAAGAACTAAATATAAGGTGTTTCAAAAACAATGCAGAATTTAAATCTGCTATAAATTAAATGTATTTCTTTTAAAAAAAAAACATAACAAATATATCATTCTTTTCGGGAGAAATTAAGGCTTAACAGTATCAAACAATATCGGGCATTTGATCTTTCCTACTAATCCTACATGTGATTATTCTTCTTTTTTTTTTTTTTTTGAAGTGTGACAAGGTGAACTCAAACATTATTGATGTTCATTTAGTTCAAATAAGGCCAATAAAATTACTGAGCTCAGTAGGTATTCTTGTATAGTTACAACAAGACGGTGCAACTTGTTACGCTTCAAGAGAAACAATCCCTCTGTTGTGTGGCCAAAGCTACTCACCTCGATCTTGCGACTTGAAGCCCTGTGATTTTTTTCTTATAAGAATAAACTAAGTTACGAGTTTACCAGAACATAGTTCGAATTGTCTTGGAACTTAAGCAAGAAATTAGTCTTGTCCTCAACGAACTTAATGGGACAATATGTGATCGAGTAATGGTAAATTGTATGGAAAGAATAATCGCCTGCAGGGCTAGTAGTGAGGGTCATATGCCCGATATGGTTTTCACTGTTAAACCTTAACTTCTCCTCAAGAGAATGATATATTTATTATGTTTTTTTAAAAGAAATAAATTTAATTTACAGCAGATTTAAATTCTGCGTTTTTTTTTTTTTTTTGAGACGCCCTATAGTATCCTCTATTTAAATATTTAATTACTTAATATTTTTAAATATTTACCATAAATAATTTTTTTCTGCGTAGAGAGTCTTATACCTTTTTTTTTCTTTGTCATAAATATTACAACAAATATTATACCTTTAATACAATTTTACTACCTACCATATTTGTCTTAAGAAAATAGGGTACTTGACTGAAAAACCGATATCCACTTTTTACGTTTTACATGAAATGCTTACCTTTCTCTCTAGTGTGGTTTAAGTTTCTTTCGTGGTACATGGGCCACTGAAAGGCATGGTGATTGTTCGCCAAAATTCTTTGAACTATTTCGCTGTCATCGTCTTGTCGTGGTCCAGGATACATGCCTACATATGTATGCCTATATAATGTATCGCGTACCTATTAACATCGATTTTTCTGCGGAATCATAACCAAGAAAATTTGATTTGTTCACAAAATGAATGAATAAAAAAAAAATTGGGAATAAAAACATGTATATTCGTTATATGTAGAATTCAGGCTTATTATTTTAAGTATTATACCCCTATCCACCACGAGTGTTTAAATTAGCCTTTTAAATGAGTTTTTTCGGTTAAAATTATTTTTGTTTAACTTAACAGTAAACTGTTATGATAAAGTATCTTGAAAACTTTGAAACTTTAAAATCCATAAATTATTATATTTTAGAATATATTTTGTAATAATAATTTTTGAATTAATTAATATTTTGAAAAACATCACAGAACGTTTTCTTTTTTTTTTTAAAAAAAACACCCAAGTGATGACTTAAAAAAACTTTATCCATTTAAATATGCAAAATAATATTTCAAAAAAAATCTAACCTATATAAAATATTCTTGTTCCACTTTTCTGTATAAAAAGTATGCTACATGATAGTTGGTTAACAACCCGAAAATGTGATTATAAAAAAGAAAAGTATTGTTTTATCCAAAGTATGTAATTCCCTAAAAATAAAAAGCATAAGATTATACGAGTATTTTTTGAATAATTTGAATCCGAAGTATTTTACCTGTATTAAATTTTACTAATAAAAAAAATTGCCAATTAAATGTAAAAACTAATTTTTTTTTTTTTAACAATACCTCATAGAGCTTGAAATATACTTATTTGTACATTTATTTTTATATTAGTTACATTTTTAATAAAAATCGATTATTTTACAACAGAATGTTAAAATTAAATGAAATAATATAAATATATATATATATACATATGTTTTTATAATAAGAACTGTAAAATACGCAATTAAATGAGAAAACCGTGTTCTGCTTATTAATTTACGAATTCTAAATTTACTTTTTTTTAATAAATATTAAATAATTCATGAACTAAACAATTTTCATCTTCTTAATCACATAAATGTACTATAATTAATAATGTACTTAATAGTGTTACTATTCGGTTAAATTTGTAAATTTGTACATGCGTGTGTCTTAATAATAAATAATATATATATATAATTGTTTGTATTAAAAATTAGAACTGGAAAAATTAAGTATTTCACGTACATTTTTAAAAATTAGCTAAATACATTTTTTTACATAACTACCTATTGCTCATTATTTCCTAGATTTAATTTACTTTATGAACATTATATTGTTACTTTTTAGGACTAGTTAATTAATATTTAGTTAATAGTTAGTCAATTTAATAACAATTAAAATTTTAGAATAATTTAACCGTATACAGAATGGTCAGTAATTGTAGCCTAATAGTAATAGGTGTTATTTTATTCAATTTTATATAATCTATAAAAAATTCATAATTCAAAATAAACTCGATATAGCTACAACCAACAAAAAACAAATAATACTCATCTAGATTCATCTAGGTTATATTGGCATTATAAATAACAAAACTGCGGACAAATATGCCAAATTTGCTGTATCCAACACAGACACAACCTCGCTAGATATATTCCTCTACGACAACTTACACATTCTGAGAAACACATGCAAGAAAAATTTGACATAAATTCTGGAACAATCAAAATAAAAAGCTAAACCAGGTTAAGATAACAACTCCCAGATGGGAAAAACCCTAATCTCAATCGAAGGGACGAAACCACTATAAATCGACTGAGAATCGGACACTCAAAACTAACTCATGGATTTCTAATGGCAAAAGAAGAACTTTTCATCGGCGAAACTTGTGACTCACAACCTATAGTCAAACATAATATAACAGAATGCCAACTATACGAACAGGAACGAATAAACTTTAACATAATCAAAACTCTCGCTACGACTACCGAACCCGGATAAAACAAAAAAGTCTAACATTTTTAAAGTCAACTAATTTAATTAACAAAATATAATTGAATTGTAAAATTATTATAATATAATATAAATACCTTAAAAATTGTAAATTGTAATTAATGTGCTGTAACCAACGGCTTTTGAGTGTTAAAAAAAAAAAATACCTATATTTGTTTTGTATACCTATATTAAACAATATAACTGCTAAATTATTTACCTATTAATGTGTTTTATTGTATAAAACATGTAAATAAATCAAGAAGATGATTCAGCGACAATCTTTGACTAACCAAACTTGAAATACGCGTAGATTACTACAAATTACATATCTTACTATTTAGGAAAATCTAGTTCTAATATATTCGTAATACACATTTACAATTATACGAGTATACATACGTACCTATACAGCTAAATTATTTAAAACAATATAGTTTTAATATTATATTAATTAAGATCAATATTTAATAATAATTATTATTTTATATAAATTAAAAAAAAAATTGAAAATTCGCGTGTTAATACCATTTGGCAAACACAGAAAAATCATAGATCTCCTTAAAAATATTATTATCTAAATTATTGAATTCAAAAATAATATACTTAAATACCGTTATTTTTTTCTTTTAATTGGAAATAATTATGTTTGTATTAAAAGTATCTAAACTAATTAATGTAAGCAACATGATTGTCCTTACACAAAAAAAAAAAAAAATAAAATAAAACTATACAAACCGGGATCGCGCCGTAATAATCGGATGGACCGTAAAGAATTTATTTTCAGTCTCGTCGTTTAGCCCTCAATAATAATAGAGCAAACATATGTTGTTTATACACTGCAAACAACGGTATTCAAAGTCGAATCCATGGTCGAAGGTAACTGACTCGAAATTGGGTAGCGCGTTGCGATGTCGTAAGCGGAGCGAAGATATTACGTACACATGCGCCTCTTGTGTGACGAGCGGTGATCGCGTTAACTACACCACGATTTACGTCTATATAATATATCAGATGTTATGTACTACATAATATGTAGGTGTTATAATTTTATACATACACAACACGTCAAAAAAGTTGTGTTTTTTCCGACCAAATATAATATAAATATTATTTTTTGATATATTTTATATTTAAATATAATATTTTTTGATAAGTTACAGCAATTGCTGTTAATGTTTAATTAACATTAATGTTATCCTGGCAAAACAAAAAGTGCCCTGGTTGGCCAAACTTCTTAAAAAAAAGATTTTCCACTTGATCTTAAAACCAAATTTTCTTACAATATCAATGTTACGAGGAAAACTACTTTCTAAAATCATAGTTTTATTCACATTTCCTAATATTATACTCGTATAACCAATTTATAAAATATAAATATTTTAAATATCGTTGATATATCTTGTATTTCATAATTCTAATATAATTTACAAAATATTTTGCGCTTAAAATATAGAACTTTTTGTCTGTTTCTGTAAATATATCATGAATAAAATTTCCTGTTCCTATTAATACATCATTAATACAGCTCCTATTAATACTTAAATTTGTGCCTGTATCTATACTGAATATTGCACGAAAATAATTATTGTTTCATTTTATATTGTTAATTTATAAATATTTTATATGTACAAATATTTTTATTTAAAACTAGTGTGTTAATGTTATTGATTTATTATGAACATGCTAAACATATATACACTAACCAAGGGAATTTTTATATCATATTACATAACACGAATATGTATTTACGAATATGTAACTGCACTTCCAATAAGATTTATTTTCAAACCATCATTACTTTATAATTATATATCTCCAAGCCCGGATTATGATAATTTGAGGACCGGGGCCTAACAATTTTAGGGGCCCATAACCATAATCAAAATATTGATGACCCACACATAAATATATTTCAGAGACAAAAAAAAATTATATTCTAATTAATAAATTTATTTCTTGCTTTTTTTAATACAAAAAATAAAAATGTTATTTATATAAATAATTTTTTTCTTTCTTTTTGGGGAGCAAACTCTTTAATTGTATCATCGGTATTAATAACATCTAAAGCATTACTCTCTGAACTCAAAATCATAAGACTTTGTACTATTTTATACTTTTTATACGAGCTAAAAGAGTTAAAAAAAACGAAAAAACCTACTATCCACCAAGAGCCTACTATTGTTTGATATTCGTTGTGAGTTGGGGCCATGGCCCCCTCTTCTTCTTCAAGTGCCTATCCGATTTCGAATGTTGGCGACCATTCCAGCAATGTTCTCTCTATCGGTTGCGACGCGAAACAATTCTGATGAGCTCTTTCCATACCATTCCCTTAGATTATGAAGCCATGATTTTCTTCTTTTGCCAGGGCCTCTTTTTCCATATATTTTCCCTTGCAAAATGGCTTGAAGTATTGTATACTTACTTTCATTCCTCATTATGTGACCTAAATATTGGAGCTTTCTTATCTTTATTATGTTTACTAGCTCAGTGTCCTTTTTCATTCTTCTAAAAACTTCGTCGTTTGTAATCCGGGCAGTCCACGGTATTTTCGTTATATTCTTTTATACATCCATAACTCAAATGCTTTTATCTTTTTTGTAATGGCATAATTAAGTGTCCAAGATTCCACGCCATGAAGTAGAACAGAGAACACATAACATCTTGTATGTCTCATTTTTGTTTTAAGAGATAATTTATGACTTTTGAAGAAAGCGCTCATTTTATTGAATGTTGTCCTCGCTTTATCTCTACAACATTTTATTTCTTGAGTGTTATCCCATTTTTCATTTATCATAGTGCCTAAGTAGCAATATTGTTCCACTCTTTCTATTCTGGTTTGATTGACACACAGATGAGCTCCAGCTATAGTATTCTTGCTTATAACCATTTGTTTTGTTTTGTGTACATTTATTTTAAATCCAAACTGATGACTGTGCTGTGTCATGTGGTCCATTAATGTTTACAGTCCAGCACTATTGTCGATTAGAATTATGGTGTCATCCGCATACCTAATGTTGTTGATTATGGTTCCATTTAGTTGTATGCTTTCCTCTATCCCGTCTAGTGCCTCATTGAATATTTTTTCAGAATATAGGTTGAAAATTAAGGGTAAAAGGATACATCCTTGTCTAACACCTCGTAACATTTTTACATTCTCGGTTGTATCTCCATCTAGTCTCATACAAGCTGTCTGATTCCAATATAGGTTACCTAGTATTCTTAAATCTTTACTATCTAGACCAGTGGTAGGCAAACTTTTTTAATGGGGGGGGGGGCACAAGGTTTATGAAATTCTAGAAGAGGGCCAGAATTGTAGAAAAAATGTATTTTGTGTTAAAGCTTTGAATCATAATATTATAAAAACATTACAGCATTACAAACAAATGTTACAAATTACCTTTTACCTTAAATAATAATTAATTTAACTTTTATTCGTAAGCTCAACCATGGTAGGCGTGTGAGATATATGGAATTGTTTTTGATTTTCCATAATATTTTTGAAAGCAGGTTCCAGCTGTGATGAAGCAACTTTCAGCAGTGCGAAAAGGTGTTCATTAGTCAATCAGTTTCTGATTATTTTTAAATTATTTTAAATAAATAAATAAATTTTAAATTATAAGAAATGCTGAAAAACCTCTGCGACCCTAATTTGGGGGCCATTACTATCCATGTCGGTGGACCCTCGGCGGGCCGGATTGAATACTTTCGCGGGCCGTACTTTGCCCATCACTCATCTAGACCAACTTCTTTAAGTATATTCATCAATTTGTCGTGATCGACTCTACCAAAAGCTTTCTCATAATCAATCAGACATGCATAAACGTCACAATTTACGTCTCTGCATCTTTGTATCAAAACTGTATAGAATAAAGCCTCTCTTATGCCCACTGCTTTAATAAAGCCAAACTGGTTTGGCGAGATTTGTTCTTCGCATTTTTTATATATTCTTTTGTGGATGACCTTTAGAAATAACTTTAGTATATGACTCATAAGACTTATGGAGCGGTACTCCTCACATTTCTTTGCTGCTATCTTTTTGGGTAATGCAATGAACTCTGATTTTAACCATTCTTTCAATATATTTCCTGTATCATAGATGTTATTGAAAATTTTTGTCATCTATTTTATTCTTTCTTTATTCATCAGTTTCAAGAATTCGGATTCTATATTGTCAGGTCTCGCGACTTTTCCATTTTTTCATATTTTTTATTTATATTCACATTTATATATAATCACTATATCACTATTTTTATAGAATACTATTTTACTACATATTTCTAATTTTTTACATACATATATAAAACAATAATGTACATAAATACTGATTCAACATTGATTTTGATTTTGAATTACATTTTAGACCATTCGGTTTATGCATTTCGATCATAAACAAATTATTTATGTTTGAATTTGCACTTTGAAAATTATTACTCTCGTACATACTGTTTTTATTGAAAATAGACTTTATACAAATATATAATGAAGTATAATATACTTCATTACATATTTGTATTTTATATTAATTTAAATGTTATTTGTATTTTTATGTGTATATATATGTGTGTGTTTGTTTTTAATTACATTCAATTATTAAACCACCTGAAGACAAAGTCGTTATACTAATGCAAGGTTAATTTCGCACACATTTGAGGACGTGGCTTACGACAAAACATTATTAACTACTTAACCCTTACGACCCCTAACGAGCCCTAGGATTGTTTTCATTTAATATATACGCATGTTTGATCTTATTTTATTACTAATATAACACTCAGTAGGAAAGTAATTAATTGGCATTCTTGTGACTTTTTTCTAATTTAATGTGAGTAAGTTGTAGCTGTACTGAGTTCTATTAATAAAAACCGTGTAGATTTTTAATATACTAATATATACATGGATATAGCAAATATTATTAATTATTACAGGATTTAATTATGCCCCAAATGGCGTTTTTTCTATATAAAATAAACAACTATTAACATGTTTCGCGCACACGTTGCACCGACTCACGTGTTTAATACGTCCTAAAAATCAAATTGCCGTCTCATGTGTGCACCATTATATCTCCCCACGCAATATACTCGAGTAATTGATATGTCGTCGTTGTAAAGGTCATCATTATTATTATCTCGCATCGCGAAACACACTCGTACACACCCGAGTGATTCGTGATGTGACTACTTACGGTACTATGGGTTTTGTTTTCGTTTTTTTTCACATTCGTCCTAATCTACAAATTGTGTTTGAAAAAAGTCACGCGTCCGGCGCGTGACGATATTTTATTCACGAAAGACGAATCACGGGTCTCGATATCTTCTATTGAATTTTAAAAATTGATATAAAATCACATAATCACACCATCGTTTTTATAAACCATTTGATCGATAAGAAATATTGTAACGATAATATACATAAAAAAAAAAAAATGATTTACTTCGCGTGGAGCCTCACAGGGGTAATAAAGCGCATACTGGCTGTTTATAATAGATTGATTTATTTTAAATTAAATACATATTTATTTTGCAAAAAATTATTTTTCATTTTCTTAGACTTATGAGTATCGGCTTGGTGGAGTTTATTTCTGGACGGAGGTAATAACTGTTATTGAGTTATTTTTAAAATATAATAGCACTGCATAATTCTTGTTGTTATTATTACATAGACATGCGTAAACTGGGGGGACAAGGGGGGCGATTGCCCCTAGAATAAATTAGGAGGGACAGTGCCCCCTCTGATATTTAACATACCATGTTTTAAAAAAGTACAAAACAGCTGTTTATAGCTATTACTATAACATTATTTTTTTTTAAAAAATCTTAATTTTAAATTTCCGCTTGTTTAACATAATGTTAGAAAATTAATAATTTTATATAATAATG